AGAAAAAAACTTTTGCAACCTTAAACATAATCAAATTAAGCCAATGTGTAACTTTAATTGTTTTTTTTTAGTTGGCACCACACATCATTTGTAACTCACATATATAATTACTTGTAATGAATTTGTAGCCAATTGCAATCAATGATGACATCTTTTTTACGCTTTGAGAAAATAATTGCTTGACTTTGAGAAAAAAAGAGAGAAGATATCTTAGAGAATCTTTTCTAGATATCATAAGATCAAAAGTCCTTTTATCATAATTTTACCTGTTCTAATGCTTGCTTTGTCCCTCACCAGCGCAAAGGTGAAACAATTAACCTGTTCTAATGTGATCCCACTATTTTGAATGACAAAGAAAGAAAAGTAAAACAAAAAGAATAATAATCTATCTATCTATCTATATTATTATTATTATTAAAATATGAATACAATGTTGATTTATAAAAATAGCCGTATAGTATTAAGCATAATAACTCACAATAGAAGGAAATAACCGTAATTCTAGGCATTAGCCTTATAATCCTATTAGTTTTAGGATATATAATATTACACGTTAGGAATCTCATGATTATCTTTAGGAATGATTTTAGTATAATTACTTTCGGGCATAGACATATAATACTATATATTAACATATAAACTTAATACCTTTATGAACACGTTAAAATTCCTATTAGTATAATCACTTCCGGAATAGAGACATATTTTTAGTCATGTAATCCTATTATTTTTAGGATATACTTCTTAAATATTTCTATTACTAATTTACTTTGAAAACGTATTATTTTGCCCTATTACAATTTAATTTGAGAATGTATTCTATTTCCAAATTCATTTTAAAAATGAGAGCATATATTATTATAAAAGTATGAATACAAGATTGATAGACCAAAATAGCCCTAAAATATCAAATAAAAGAACTCATAGGAAAATGACATAACTGTAATAACCTATTTTTTTGTACTACAATACCTTCTATGTTAATATTTTTTAATATTTAAGAGTTTAAAATTAATAAAATTATCCAAATTCTTATTAAAAATGTAGTAAGGTTTAATAAAATCATTTCCATAAGAATCCTCCGTATTGGCAATACATTAGTCCCATACCAAGAAAGACTAAAAGTAATATTAAATGGATTGCATAAAGCGTTGAAATTGAAAAAGAAATATCCCCACGATAATGTATTTTATATTATATTTGAACTGCTTTCATACCCAAGTAATATTTTTTATTATCAATTTTTTGTGTAATATTGAAAAATATACCCAATTATTAAAGAAAAGCTAAGAAAATATTTAAGATAAATGTGTGAGAAAGAGAAAAAAAATGGTTGGTAAGAATCAATCCCACTAATGATTCCGCAAACATAAAGATCTAAAAGTGGAATGTCAGGTCGATCAGAAGCCTAGAGGCAAGGGTCCAACTCTTCCTGAAATTGCGCTTAGTCTCGCTACCTCTTTAGTTTACTCTTTGAAAATAAAATTTATGGTGAATAAAATTATGATTATAATTAAATATTCAAAACAAGAGATGAACTAATATTAAGAATTTGAATCAACATAAAATAAATTTTACTTTATGAGTAAAATTATTTTTCAAGTTAAAAGAAATCTTAAGGTACATAAATTTATTCCATAAAAAGAGTGTTGGCGATTAAAAAAGTTAGAACACAAAGTAAAAAATGTTAGTATAATATTAAGAATCAAAAGGTTATACAAGTGTCTAAGGAAGCACAATCAAAACTAAATCTTGAACAAGAACAAGCTTTCAAGATTATATTATAAAAAGTCGACTCTAGTATAGCGGGCCGGGATTATCCTTTGTAGATGTCTCCGGTGAAATCGAAATAATATTACTATGTCATGCATTACTTGCAAATATCATATCAAGAGGCATGAAACTATTAGCAATAACAACAAGTGGTGTATCGACAACGATTTTATTACGAGGTCATACAACTTGCTTTAGATTTGATATACCTTTTCAAACAACTAAAATAACCACCATAAATATATCAAAGTAGAACAATGATGCTAATTTATAAGAAAAACAAAATTGATAATATGGGATGAAGCGCTTATGGCTAAGTGTAAAACGATCGAAATAATTGCCCTGAGTTTTAGAGATATATTGGATATCATTGAACCGTTTGGTGAAAAAGTAATGGTTTGGGAGGTGATTTTTGTCAAGTACTACCAGTAGTCCTAAAATCGACAAAAGCAGAGATTGTAAAAGTTAGTTTGCCAAAATTATACTTACGGCCTCAAATGAAAAAGACTCAATTGACAAGAAATATAAAAGTAAGAATAGATCAAGCATTCAGTGACTTATTGATTCGTGTCGAAAACAAAGAAGAGCATCCAATAAAAGATGATTTGGTTCTTCTAGAACACATGGTTATCAACTCTAATGGTAATAGTAGTGCATTTAATAAGGAAAATATTTTTATCATTAGAATAAAATGTAATTTATGCAAATTACATAATAGAAATGAAAGAACTATCTTAGTTAGCATAAATGAATATGTTGATCAACTAAATAAAAGGTTGATTGTAAAGTTTTGTGGTAAAGATAAAATATTTTTCATTTTTTGACTTAGCAGAAGATGATATCAATAATTACTACCAAGAAAAATACGCAAATACTTTAATACCAAATGCCTTTCTACCATACAGTTGTCACGCTCATTATTTTTTACGTGTATATATAATAGACTAAGTTAAAATTGATCTTCCATTGCATATAGGTTAATTTTGAAGTTAATTTTGAAGAAAACTATGTCCATCATGCTACTTAAATAGCTTTTATAATAGCACACGGATGACATATAGAAGTTTTGATAACAACTTCATACATGCATAATGATACTGGTCAATGTGCTTCTAAGTATGTATTTTTCCCCGAATTCAACTTTCGTCTTCCGAAACTCAAGAATATCCTTTTAAATTTGTGTGAAAATAATTTTCAGTATATTTTGTGTTTTGCAATTATAATAAATAAAGCACAAGGACAAACATCCTAAATATTGGAGTATATTTACCGCAATATATTTTCTTACACGAACAACTATATATTGCACTTACAACAAGAGTTCTGGTTATGGCAGAGCAACCAAAACATTAGAAGGAAATATATACAAAAAATATTATCTACAAATAAGTGTTCGGTAAAATACCATCACATTAAATATTTTTAAACTATAATACATAATTATCTAACTAACATGACTAAATTGATCATCGCCTTTTTTACCCTTTAAAAATAGGTTTCACATTAGAGTTGTAATTTAATTAACTTTCCTAATATCTATCACTTTAAAATCAACTAAAATTTTTGTTACTAAATATTTTCTTATTGAACTAGGTAAAAGGTTTTAATATTTAGGACTTTAAAATCAATAAATTCTTTTCCTTATATAAATTTTTGTCCTTATTTTAAATTGTTAATATCTCACGTCTTATTTTTACTTTGGGGGAATTATTCTTGCATCTCTTCTAACTTCAGATTCATAATATTTATAACATCCCGAAAAAATTCCAAGTGTTTTAAGACCATTAAGAAGTTTGACGTATGCTAATTATATTAATTCGGGTATGAACAAGACTATTAATTTGAATGATATTAGTTGATCATGATAATATATGTATTAGGTGCATTAAGAATGGTTTATGGTCTAAGAAGAGCCCTAAGGCTAAGTCAACTTGGAAATTATATGCTGGGATAAAGTTTCAAGTAAGTTCTCATAAGACCTAACTTCAAATGAGCATAACTCTCAAGATATAAAGAGTTATATGGTGTGTAACCTATCAAATCAAATCTATTTGAGTCTAGTTTCCAACGCATTAAACCGTTTGTCATTTGGACAAGTATACAGAAAGTTATGGCCATTGTACTGGACCTATGTCATATGCGCGCCCAGATGCGCGGCCGCGCATATTTGAGACTTTCTGCCTTAGGTGCGCGGGCACTTGCCCGGGTGCGCAGCCGCGCACGTAGGAGCTCATTAAATAAACCCAATGACGGATAGAGAGAGGGGCTAAGTCATTTCTTCAATACTAGGGCTTTCTCTCCATCACCCATCTGGTCAAGGCTTCCAATACACACCTAAGGTGAATTTTTAAGTGTGTTTTATGATGATTTCACTTCTCAATCACTAGTTACAACAAGGTTTTGATGGGATTGCATATGATTTTTTCAAAATCTCAAGAACACCCCAAAAGTTATCTTTCAAGATTTGATCTACAATAGGTATGTCTACTACCTCTAACTAATTCATGGTGATTATTTATGTACGAAATATGTGTTAGGACTTGATTAATTGATTGTACTTGTATTCGTTATTTGTTGAGCAATATTAATGATGTTCTTGTTGCCCTGCTGTTGGTTTTGACACCTGTATTGAAATAAAAATTTTTTTGGCTTAAATTATAATTATAATCGGCTTACTTAGTCTCTCCATCACGACGCCTGTGATGAAATTTTGGGTCATGACAATATTAAAGTCCGATATTTTATATTATATATTTTTCATCAATTCCTTTTGAAAATATAACGTTGAACATCAAAGTTTTTCCATAATATATTTAAATTCTAGAAAAAGGTTTATAGCTCTTTTTTTTTGTTTGATTGTGCATAAAAAATTTGTACACATATACCGAGTTACTTGAACAAAGTGAAATATTCTGAAATAATCAGTAGGTAATGTTGGATAACATTAAAATAATAAAGTAATTTGGTGGTAATTCTATTTCAATCTTCTCTTATAGTAGGAGTAACTGTTAGTCGTTAAATTAACGAGTAAAGTTGCGTGCTGACTGCTCTGATTAGTGATTAGTCTTTCCATTTTAAAAAGTTGGAGGGTGTGACTAAAAAAATAAAAAGCGAAAAAGCGAACAGTGCCAACAAAAAAATAAAATAAAATAAATGATGACATGTCAGCTTCATAATAATATCGCCGCTCCTCTCATTTGGTCTTTCTTTTCTGAAACAATAAAAAATAACACAAAAGCTCCCCATCTTTCAACAATATCGTAATTTCCCAGATCATCTTTTGTTTTTACCATTTCTCTTCTCTTTCATCTTTTCTGTTTCTCCCCCTATACAATACTACATTATATAAACATAATACGCATTCTATGGTGGACTTACAATCAGTTTGTTATTTGATTCTTACACTCTTCAGCCATAAGCAACAACCTTCACTGGTACGTTTCCCTTTTTGACCTAGCTATCATTTGCTACTTCTACTCTACTGTTTCACTTTCCAGTTCAATTTATTCAATCTCGTAATAGAATTATGTTTAATTCGTCTTTTGCGTGTATATATTTTCATTGCAGTGATAAAATCTGGAATTTTTTTATAACTTGTCTGACCTGTGTAATCTGATCAGGTGCTTGTGGTATTTATCAAACGTGGCATTGGCCATCTATGGATTTAATGAAATTTGATGAGAAATTAGGTTTAGGGTTTAGTAGATGGAGTTACTTGGGAGGAATTTGTATGATTTTGGTGGGGAAAAATGGTGTGTTCTGCATTTAGGTGGGTTTTAATTAGGGCAATTTCATTGTTGTATGATGTGTTAAGAGTCTTAGGTTGGGGGTAGTGGGGTTTGAAGGATGACTGATGTTCAGCAACAACTGCAACAGAAGCCCGAGAGCACAGGGGATGATGCCAGCTCTGAATTTGAGAGGGGTTGGGAGGAGTTAATAATGCGCGGGCACTTGGATGAGTGTATGTCGTTTGCTTCTTGTAGTTCAGCACGCAACACTGAAGACGAGGACGATGAGAGCAATGATCGTCTTGTGAGAAGGAGAAGGAGGAGTTCAGGAATTGAAGGTGGTGATGACCTGGCTGAGTCTTCTGCTGCTAGGAGGAGGCATTCACGGATTTTGAGTAGGTGGGCTGCTAGACAGGCAGAAGATATGATCACCACTATCGAGAGGAGGAATCGTGAGTCGGAGTTGATGACACTTTCTGGTTTGCATACTGTATCGACGCTTGATTCTTCGTTCTTGAGAGAATCACGATCTCCTAGTTCAAGGCATCAGGGTGATGCTGAGAGGAGCAGTAGAGCTTCGACCATCTTGCAAATGTGGCGGGAGTTGGAGGATGAGCATATACTGAATCGTGCCCGAGATAGGGTGAGGGAAAGACTGACACAACAGAGGAGTGTGGATTCTAGTACCAATATTTCTAGTACTAGTATTTCAGAAAGCCGGGAGAGTGAGAACCATGGTAGTTTGGTGGATGCTAATGAGAGTGAGAATGAATATGGTACTTGGTCTCCTGATGTGATCGGACCACAGATTGAGAACAGCGAGCATGAAAACTCCAGCCGTGAACAGTCTCCTGACCTAGGGGAAGTTGAGAGGGAGAGGGTGAGGCAAATCGTTCGTGGATGGATGGAGAGCGGGGTCAGTGACCATTCATCTAATGTCTCCCAGAGGAACGGTGGCCCAAGAGGCGAATGGCTGGGGGAGACAGAGCGTGAAAGGGTAAGAATTGTGAGGGAGTGGGTCCAAATGACTAGTCAACAAAGAGGAGCTCGTGGTGGCAGAAGGGAAGAACAATCCAGTGGGCTTAGTGCTCAAGTTGATCGTGT